TTGACAAATAAATTTTAACATTAAATAGATCTTTTGCAAACATTTAGAAATATACTTTGAAAATCCCAAACCTTTGTCCATCTTCATTCCTGAGTTTCTCACCGAATTGCAAAACTCAATCTTGTTTATTATTAATCTCCACAGAATGATTACCCAATAGAAATCAAAAAAACAAAAAATTGGGGATAATCTGGTTAACGTCTCAGTGAAACTACCTCTACTTTTATATAACCTTTACCAATATTTTTGAAAGAGTGGGTAAGAGACTGGCGAATATTATCTAGTGTTGTTGGAGTGCCTTTTTCAACCGATCCTGAAAAATGAAATTTACCTTAACTTTATTATTTAACCTTATTATTCCGCGTCCAGAATAACTAATACCAATTAAAAACCTAGCAATATTTAATGGTATCTAGAAATTCCCACTAAAGGTCACTGTAATACGTTCGTTCAATACGTATATCCATAAAACAAAATAATACATTCTAGATATTTCATCCAATTTGTTTTTCTTTGCATTCTGCTTTAGAAAATTATTTAGATAGTTCATGTAGTTAATATACACTTTTTACACTCGTATTACTCCGCAATATTTAAAACCAGATCTTAATCGATATATTAAAATGCTTGTTATCTGAAAGAATGCAGTACGCTGTAATAGCAATTTTTTTCAAATATCTCGAAAATCGTAAATACAGAAATGGTAGCTCTTGACGTGGCCTATAACACTGTTTAAACCAATTTGATACATTTTATATGAATTTTCTTTTGCAGCTAATAATTTGCTCTGGAAAAGGACAATTTTCAGGGTCTTTTAGATTTTTGTCTATAACAGAAAAGCTTGAAATAAAGGTTATAGTACCTAATCTTCAGCATCTTTCGGTTCAAGAATTTTGCCGGCAACGCGTTTTCAGGAAAATATTTTTTTCGTGGGAGACAAAATAACCCAAAAAAAATTAAAAAAATTTGAAAAAACACTTCGCGATATTTGATGGCGCCCAGTTTCAACAGTTTAAATGCCGGTACCACTCGGCTAAATTTGAAGTCGATGGGGGACACCCTGTACAATAGATAAAAACCTGAAATACAAAAGTTTTACCTGTTTATACGGGCTATATGATCATGTAAGAGAAACTGACAACTGAAACCCAGCCTTCAAGTTATGGTCAATTAACTTTATAGGTGGGCCCAATTTTCAGTTTTTTTGCGAATACCCTGTAGATTTTTGAAAATTTTAAAGAATAGGAGTTTATTGCACCCGATCTTAGGAATCTTTTCGTTCATGAAATTTTTCGAATGCTTAAACAGTTTTTGAAAAATGACGCGATTTTAAATTTTTTAAAAATACTTTCCGACCCCCCAGCCCCCCCGGTTTCAATAGATTCTGTTACGGGGACAAGCTGCATACATGTGAGGAATTTCAAGTCGATTGTTTCAAATTTCGAACACTTATCGTGTTTCATAACAAAAATCAGTCGAAAATTGCAAAAAAAAATGGCCGGCGATGTTTGACCGCTGCTATTTTCACATATCTTGTGCACTCCATGGACTGTTAAAAAGAGGCAAAATTTGGACCGTCTAGCTGAAACCGTTCCGAAGTTATTGTGGAAAATGTCCTGAAACAGAGAACGGAGGATTTTTCATTCATTTTGCGAAAGCAATAAAATACATATGAGGCTTAGCAGTTCACTTGAAGAGGTGTTTTTAACAAACTATAACAAATTAAAATAAATCAAATAGGTTTTAAAACATGTGCCACGTTTTCAACGTTAACGGATACAATAATTTACAACCATTTAATAAGTCGACTATTTTTGTCAACCAAAATTATTCATCATTTCACCATTTTCTTTCAACAAATAGCGCTTCGATCGCAAACAAAACTTTCCCCGAAAAAAGTTTACATACAGCGAACCCGTGGGAAGTACTTTGTATCTAAAATGATGGATATTAATTTTAAAAATTTAATAAGGAGGGAGCAATAGGGTTTTTGGAATTGGAAAATAAATACGGCATATCCGCTTTGTTTGTATTCAATTTTTTTCCTGTAACGTCGGCCGCCCGAAGCAAAAATTTCCATTAGGTCGTCGAGTTGAGTGTATATATTTATGTTTATTCCGAATGCCAAATGAAATTCGTTAATCTCCCAAGGAAACCGTTGTTTTGTTTCACGGAAATTCTCTTTCTTCCCACATTATGCGAATGTTAAATTTCATAGCCCTGCGAAGCACTTAAAAATACCTACGCAAAGATATTATTATACCTTTGCTTAAAAAACTAAAAATTTTTATTAAAATAAGTGACATTAAATTTAATTTTGCCTGTTCGGTTGAAAAGGACACTCCAAGAAGCCTACATAATGTTCGCCCTATCAGTCTTTTACCCATTTTTTCAAAAATATAACCAGATTATCCTCGTTACTTAATCAGGATATAAAGCGGAACACAGAACACATAACCGATGGTTTAGGGCTACAGATGAAGGCAAGGTGACACTACTAATCCTTTCAGACTATTCGACAGCTTTTGATACTCTTAAACAACAAATTTTTATTTCAATGTTAAATTTAATAAGTTTTCAAGAAAACGCAATTAATCTTTTAGCTTCAGAAACTTTAATAAAGGTATACCGCAGGAGCCCATTTTAGGACCGCCTTTACAATTAATTGCTAGCAGTAATCCTGTTTGATTGGTTGGAAAATGGTGATAGTCAGTCTGTGGAGATTAATAATAAAAAAAATAAGTTTTGTGATTCGGTGAGAAACTTAGGAATGATGATGGACAAAGATTTGGGATTTTCGAAGCATATTTGTAAATGTTTACAATAGGTGTATTTAATGATAGAATGTATCGCAAATGTTTAATTAAAAAACAAAAAACATCTTACCAAATAAAAAACTTAAGCAACCTCAAACGTTGTAATACTAGACTTTTTCAAAAACCCCTAAAGAAATTTTTAAGTAACCGTTTTGCTAACTGAATTGAAATATTTTTATTACTTTGTGTTTGATTCTCATGGGAACACTAATAATTTTTTTTTGATATGTGTTCCAACTTATAATTTATTTTATGTTTTTTGGAATATTGAATTTCTCGTTTTTATCAAAATTTTAACTTGTTGTTGCTACGTTGTTTAGAATTCGCCTTTTTTTATTACTATTACATATTATTATTTAATAAGATTGTTTCTTTCCAAAATTACTATTTTTATTGCATAATATTGTAATTAGGTACGGCTCTGAAAATAGGGATAGGAACTCAAAGAATATTTCTCTCCATTTTCCTTAGTTGATTTCCTCCAGACTATTTTTCTTCAGCTCCTACAACAGAAAATGACTTAGTCGACTTTTTACTTATTGAAATGTGTTGATTGAATTGAATTGATTTCATAAGAATTTGTTTTTTTCGAAAATTGTTTCTTCCAATTAAACAAAAGTTTCGGTGGTTTTTTGACAAAACTAACCAAAGTTGCTTTAAAAATTTTACAAGAAAAACTATCCATTTAGCTAGAATATATAAGGATTTCAGGTCTGCGCGGGCAATTAAGCAATTCTACTTTGCTTTCGTATATACGGCAGGATTACTTTAGCGAATGTAGTTTAAATCCTCTTTACTACATGTACATACTAAGAAGCAAACGACTGCAGCATAGATTTGCAAATTTCGTTAATTGGCGAATTCATGACGTTCGTGCTGTGAGGTGAGACCATAATCACCTTAAGAACATCTAGAACATTAGACTCGTGAATCAATTTTTATTGCATTTCTTTATTGCTTCGGAACTAATTCTCCCCATTTGTTCCCCATGCATCGGATATTGTAAAATGAAGTCACAAACTTAGAAACAATTAATGGCTTATATGTCAGTTGTGTTCTACAATATGCATTCCTTGTTTGACCTACGTACTATTCAGCCTATGGAAAAAATACAGTGTAAATTTTTAAAATATATTTGGTTTATGCGACGGTGTATCTCTATCAGGCCTTTCTCTCTCTATAGCTTTCTATCTTGCAATGTTATTTTATGATGAGGAGACAAGACGTTTTCAACTGTATTCTTTCTGCAATATAACAACTTAACGAAAATTTATTCGTTTTTTTTTAAACCATTGTCGCCATTTTTTATAAAACTTCTAGCAAAACGTTTCATAAATCATCCTGTTGGCTTCTTCAGAGCTTGAATCAAACTGGCTCTGTTTACGCTGCTTTTATATTGTTTGAGAGGGATGGAGGTAAATGAGGGGCTGGAGAATTGATTACATGCAAGAATTTTAGTTTTATCGAATAAAATTTTATGTCCGGTTTCGTGATGAGTTTATTTGTCTTAGTCTTAAGGCTCTTTCATGCTGTTTGAGCCTAGTATGTATTCATTGCCACATATGCATGAAATGCTGTAAACTTCTGTCATCTCAAATGGAATTTTGTCTTTGACGGATCGAAGACGTTGAAAGATTTTTGACAAGTCGTAAATCTGGTTTTGACGTTATATTTCTTTACAACTTTTGATATGTTTTGAATATAAGGAAGGTCAACAGTAGCAAGTGTGGGATTGCTTTGGGTTCATTGCTATTGAAAGGTGGTGGTGAAGTGTATTTTGTGATGGAACGCTTAATATCTTTAATGTGGAAATTATTAGAGAGAAGAACAGAGTGAGGTGTTCTAATTCTGGGTTAAATGACTCGGACTGAGATAGTTTTACCTTTCACCAATATGGGATTCAGTCATCCGAGACGGTGTTTATGCCCCTCATTTAGCTCCGCCCCCTCAAACAATATATGAACAGATACAGAGTAAAATGCGAGCCAGTTTCAGTCAAGCTTTGAAGAAGCCGACCGCAGTAGGAATCCAGAAGTTTTATAAAAATCATTGTCGTCCGTAAATATTACTAATTTTTGTAATATGTTTGATGTCACGTAAATAAGCCTAAACCACTGAAGTAAAGAGATTTTTACGAATCTTAAGAAGTTTACCGCTTAGGTCTACAGTATACTATTCTTGCAGGATTCCAATAAACGTGCGTTGCAAAATAACGTCGCCCTCTTCAGATCGTCGCAAATTTGACGGCACTTTATCGCTGACCGATAAAGTATACAAAATAAATGGGAACTCGAGTATAATAGGTGGTTTGCCGGTGAAAGTTTTAATCACTTTTACCCCAGAAGACAATGGGCGCGCTTTAAGTTTTCAATACTATCTGAAAACAACTCTAAATGACTATGAATTAAACGGAGATATACATTACTCCGACAGTTTAACCCGTTTCACTGCACACGCAACGGCCAATGATAAATATAACTGGGAGTTTAATTTGCAGGTAAGCGACCGGTTAGCTAATTGTTTATGACATATATGGGGCCATATTTTACGTTTAACGTTTTTAGGTTGAGCCGCCGAATGCTACGCAAAAGTTGGCGGTACATGCGGTGGCGGCAACTGTCGGGAACGGTGTCAGATTGGACATCGCAGGAAAGACTAATATACCGAAGCTGGAAAATCCAAAATGCGGCCTTAATTTCAGGTAAATTTATAACGTTTTCAACGTTCATTCTAAAAATATACGCCTTATTACTCCAGGTCTAGAATAACTAATACCAACTATACATATACTCCCACTAAAGGTCACTGTAATATGTTCGTTCAATACGTAGTAATATCCATAAAACTAGATCTAGATGTTTCATCCAATTTGTTTTTCTTTGCGTACTGTTTTACAAAATTATTTAGATACTTCATGCAGTTAATATACACTTTTTACACTCGTATTACTCCGCAATATTTAAAACCAGACCTTAATTGATATATTGAAGTACTTGTTTTCTGAAAGCATGCAGTGCTCTGTAATAGTAAATGACGTCATCGCGTCTAGAGGAAGTGCGAGAAATTGCGATTTTCATATGGATTTTTTCAAATATCTCGAGCAGCGTATGTGATAGACGAAAATGGTAAATACAGAAATTGTAGCTCTTGACGTGGCCTATAACACTGTTTAAACTAATTTGATACATTTTTTATGAATTTTCTTTTGCAGCTAATAATTTACTTTGGAAAAGGACAATTTTCAGGGTCTTTTAGATTTTTGTCTATAATAAAAAAGCTTGAAATAAAGGTTATAGTACCTAATCTCCCGCATCTTTTGGTTCAAGAATTTTGCCGGTAACGCGTTTTCAGAAAAATATTTATAAATTTATAACGTTTTCAACGTCGATTCTAAAAATGTACTCCTTATTACTCCAGATCTAGAATAACTAATACCAAGTATAAATATACCCATTCAATTTAATTTAATATTTAACAGTGTCTAGTAATTCCCACTAAAGGTCACTGTAATACGTTGGTTCAATACGTACTAATATCCATAAAGTAAAATAATACATTCTAGGTATTATTAGCCGTTCAATTAGTTTTCCATTGCGTTCTGTTTTACAAAATTATTTAAATTCTTCTTGCAGCTAATATACACTTTTTGCATTAATTGTGTATAGTCTGTCTCAATCTTCATCTTGCTGGCTTTCGACAGACACTCCCCAATAAAATTTTAACTATGTCATTATCTATTGTTATCGGGTAAAGCCATTATCAAAAAATTTATTCTTACATAAGTGACAAGGCAGGGGTGGGCTAGGTATATTTCTTAAGTGTTAAATAATCGGTTTTGATGTGCGTTTCGAAAAAGTTATTTTACGAGAATATAACAATGTCGCTTCCAATTAATTTTTTGCTTGATGCAAAACAGGTCGTGAAAAATGTGTATGAACCTTTAATCAGTAGAGGACTTATTAAATAAGAAGCTTCGAAAGAAACCTGCCTACTTACAAAAATGGCAATATCGCCTATAAGGGATATTACTAATAGTGGAGAATTGAAGAGAAAAGAACAAACCTAGTGATTGTTAAACTCAAGGTATAGACAATAGTGATCAGGGCCCAATAAGCAGGACAATATATTGTTTTATCAAAGCGAAGCTAAAAGAAGGTGGAGCCAATATAAGGATAAGCAGTACCCCCTCTACAGAGTTTTTTTTTCAAACAAATTTCCACAGGCTACTCTAATACTTTTTATAAAACTTCTAGATTCCTCCTATGTCGGTTTTTGTTGACTCGAACTAACTAACGTTTCTCCAATCATCCTGCTGGCTTCTTCAGAGCTTGACTGAAACTGGCTCGCATTTTACTCAGTACCTGCTTTTATATTGTTTGAGGGAGGCGGAGCTAAATGACTGATTCTCATATTGGTGACAGGTAGAGACCTGAGTCGCGGTTAAGATTGTTAGGTTGCTTATAGATTTCTATAGACTTTGTGTTGTGTTTGACAACTGCTGATGAGTTTATTTGTCTTAGTTTTAAGGCTCTTTCATGTTCTTTGAGCATAGTTGTTATTTTTCGTCCGGTCTCTCCAATGTATTCTTTGCCTCATATGCATGAAATGCTGGCATCTCAAATGAAATTTTGTCTTTGAAGGATCGAAGATGTTGAAAGATTTTTGGACAAGTGGTAAATCTAATTTTCAAGTTTATTTAGACCTTTTGATATGTGATCAGTGATGTTTTGAATATAAGGAAGGACAACAGTGGCAAGTATGGGATTGCTTTCGGTTTCATTGCTATTGGAAGGTTGTGGTGAAGTGTATTTTGTGATGGAACGCTTAATATCTTTAATGTAGAAATTATTAGAGAGAAGAGCAGAGGTAAGGTGTTTTAATTCTGTAAACAAGAGAGTTGATAACCGATGATTTTTGGGCCGCATGGTGATGTCAGAATGCATTAAGGTATCGGTCTGTGTGCGTAGGTTTTTTGTAAATACAATTACCTAATGTTAGGTCTGATCGATAAGAATGTCTAAGAATGGGAGGTTGTTATTAGTTTCTATTTCAATGGTAAAACGTATGTTAGGGTGTATATAGTTTAAATCTCTAAGAAAATCTACTAGGGATTTCTGACCATGATTCATCGATATAGCGTTTCCATAATTTTGGTTTTAGATGAAAGGTGTCGAGAGCTTCCTTCTCAAAGGCTTCCATAAATATATTCGCGATGACTGGTGATAGTGGAGAACTAATAGCTGTTCCCGACGTTTGTTCAAATTTTTTTTTACTTTTATATGGGAATCAGTCATCCAAGACGGTGTTTATGCCCTTCATTTAGCTCCACCCCCCTTCCCCTCAAACAATATAAAAGCAGGTACAGAGTAAAATGCAAGTCAGTTTCAGCCATGCTCTGAAGAAGCCATGATTGGCGAAACTTTAGCTAGTTCGAATCAGCGAAAATGCACTTGGAGCTTTTTTACCTTCAAGAATTTAAAAAATATAGATTAGACAACAGAACGATAATTTACATTGATGAAACGTGGTTCGGTACACACGACACTGTAACCAAAAGATGGGTAGATTCCACTTAAAACTGTCAGACGAAAGCACCTTCAAATAACAGAAAACGCATCGCCATAATATACTATTGGATTATCATAAGGATGCAAATGCTGAACTTTTTGAAAATTGGTTTCAAAACAATCGTTTAAAAAAGTTAAAGGTCCGAGCAGAAAATATTACTCCTCCTTTAAGTTCCGGTGTTATAAATTTTATAAAAAAATTAATTAATAACATGCCTAACTCATTTTAGATTTTAGAGACCTAAATAAACGTTGATTTTGTTTATTTATGCATTGTGTTTGATGATAACTAACATATTTTTGTTCCTTATTAGTTTAATATAATAATTAATGGGTTTAAATACTTAAAATACAACGAAATGCTTCTTCCAAGAACAAAGAATTTTAAAGTAATTCCGAAGAATTTCGAGGAATTATACGTGAAAGAGGAATTACGTTATACATCGTCATCACTGCGGTTTACCCGTTGAATGAGAATTAGCTTATATAACACATTTACCCCAATTTCTATAAGAACAATGGAATACTCATCAAAACTATCATCTTTACTATAAGTTTAATAACTGAAATAGTTTCTGCAATGCTTTTAATAGGCCCTATTATAACAGTGTACCCCGTATACGCGCGTTCCGACAAAACCGAACGAATATCGGTCATTTGAAAATTGATAGTTAAAATTCATAACTTCCTCCGACGCTATTTATCTTTAATTGCTATCAAATGGAAAAATAATTGAAAAATTTGCATATATACATTCAAGTCGTAAACCGTACGAAATATTGTTTTTTGCCTCGTTGTTTTCCGTTTGTCATCCTTGATTCCGCATGCGAAAAAGGAGATTTCGTAATGTTTCATACGCCCGCATACCGTTTTCCGATGTTCTGATTGCACACAGTTGGTATAAATTATAAACCGGAATTTTCAATAATCGTCTATTTGTTTATATCCGTTGCTCTTTGTGCACTGTTAGTAACGCAACGTAAATTATTTATAACTCAAAGAAAAATAAAAATATATATTTTAAAATAAACATCTTTCGCTTCGATTGTTGTAAACTTAGACAATATTAGAGTTCAAACCTTCATAATTGTTGTATTTTGTGCCTTTTGCCTATTGTGAAACATTAGCAAGTTTTTATTTAAATTGTTTTGTTATAAAAGATTAACATTTTCCTGTGGCTATCTTTTTTCTTAATTCTGAAAAAAATAATTTTATTTTTTGTTGCTGAAAAACACCATTTTATGTTAGTAAGTGAGCTAGCTATTTCAACATTTTGCAGGGGTTAGCGTATCTGAATGACTATAATGTGACTTACAGGATATCCCCAAAATTGACATTTCTAAAAAAAAAAAGTAAAAGTAAGAATTCATTTTCAAACTCTATACCCGTCAGCACCCCAAGCTTTGTGTCCTCCATGTAAAAATATTTCTTTCATATATTTTTTAGACAGGTAGGCTATGGTTTGCTTTTAGACATTTGACATAAAAAAAAGCATGAAAAATCAACCTAAAAAATCGAAAATGCAAATGTCGAACAGAAATTTTGATATTATACTTGTTTTACATTCATTGTGGAAAGAATCATCTTTATTGTAGATAATTTATGGAACTAATTGTACTGATCGTATCGACAATATAAATTATTTATAATTCAAAGAGAATTAAGAAATATGCATTGTTTCCTAAGTTACACAAACTTAGACAATAGAATAAGGAAAATGAAATATTTTCATTCTGACAATTGTTAAACATTTGCAAGTTTTTATTTAAAGTGTTTCGCTTAAATAAGATTAACATTTTTCTATGGCTATCTTTTTGCTAAATTCTGAAAAAAATAATTTTATTTTTTGTTGCTGAAAAACACTATTGTATGTGAGTAAGTGAGCTAGCTACTTCAAAATTTTAGGGGTTAGCGTATACCTTCATCTGAATGACCAAAATGTGATTTACAGGATATCCCAAAAATTGACATTTCTGAAAAAAGTAAAAGTTCATTGTTAAACTCATATTTGACAATAGATGTTCAATAATTTATCTACAAAATCTCTCTATACGCATCAGCACCCCAAAATCAACATAAAAAATAGAAAATGCAAATGTCAAACAGAAATGATGAGTAAATATTTTCACAGAAA